CGTCGCGGTCTCCTCCGCACCGTCCGCAGCCGCAAGCGCCGTCGCACACTCAACCGCAGCAGCAGCGGCCTCCAGCCGTGCGGCATCCGCCTTCTTTAGGGCCGCGCTCAGCGACACAGCCTCGCCGCCGAGCGCCACCAGGGCCGTCCTCGCCTCCTGCGCCAGCTCCTGCGCGTTCCTCGACTCCGCCTTGGCTTCCTCGCACCGCACCGCGGCATCGACGTACTGTGCGTAAGCGGTGTGCATCGCATCAAGCGCCCGCTCTCGCAGCGTCCTCGTCTTCGCCGGCTCCTGCAAGTCAGACGGCTCGCTTGTCCGCAGCAAATCCTCAATATCCTTGTCCACCTGCCGCAGACGGGGGCGGGGGATCAGTTTGCCATCGGCGTCGGCGTCGGCGTCAGCGCTGGGGCTGGGGCTCTCGACCGCAGCAGCAACCGTCACGCAGCACAGCGCAGCGGCCAGCACGAACACCACGCGGCGCACCGCAGCCATAGTCAAAAACCGCTTGGGTGACTTCTCCTTCTTGTCCTGCACGCAATGCAACGAAACAGAGGCCAACGATCACACACACACAGCAAGAAAGACGGGCACGCGACCATCACCGACAGAAAAGCGGACACAAAAATCCATTCCGTATTATAGTAATAAAACAATTAGCGGTGTTGTGCAGTACCCCACCGAAAAAAAAGCCCAAACGACCCGACAAAAGAAGTGAAGCGAAAGTAATGAAGCCCGATTCAGTAGATACGTGTATACGTAAATACAAGCAATGTTTTACATTTGCCTGCTTGCCACTCTCGGTGCCATCGGCGGGGTGCGGCGGGAGGCAGTGCGGCCCGCCAGACCCCGCAGCAGCACGGGGCGCAGACACAAGAGAGGGGACAACAAAAATTAAAAGAAATCAAAATNCCACCGAAAAAAAAGCCCAAACGACCCGACAAAAGAAGTGAAGCGAAAGTAATGAAGCCCGATTCAGTAGATACGTGTATACGTAAAAACAAGCAATGTTTTACATTTGCCTGCTTGCCACTCTCGGTGCTATCGGCGGGGTGCGGCGGGGTGCAGCGGGAGGCAGTGCGGCCCGCCAGACCCCGCAGCAGCACGGGGCGCAGACACAAGAGAGGGGACAACAAAAATTAAAAGAAATCAANTGTATACGTAAATACAAGCAATGTTTTACATTTGCCTGCTTGCCACTCTCGGTGCCATCGGCGGGGTGCGGCGGGAGGCAGTGCGGCCCGCCAGACCCCGCAGCAGCACGGGGCGCAGACACAAGAGAGGGGACAACAAAAATTAAAAGAAATCAAAATGAAAACGAAAAGAAAAGGGCTCCAGCAGCCAAGGGGGTTGGCCTGCAGGGGTGCACACACACACACACACACACAGCGGGGAGAGCAGCACCACACGCACCACCCACCGACAGCAGCAGCCCAACATGCGCACCGTGGCGCAGCACACACACAAGTAAGACATGTAGAAGTATTATTTAGATAAGGCTCTCTCAAGTGGGCAGTCCGCAATCGCGTTCCAAGTAAAACCCATTACAACAATGAGAGAGATGCGCCGTCCTCGTTGGATACAGAGCACAGGGAGTATCCTCCAAGGTGAAGGAGGTGGCGCGGGGCAAGCAAAAGGAAATGAAACGAAAAGCAAAGGAAACCAAAACATGGTTGCATTCAGTCTCCAGGGCAGCACACACAGGACACAGGGTGCATGCGTCTTGCCGTGTGCACACATGCCTCAGCACACAGCCAGGAGGCCCAGCACACCCACCACCAGCAGCAACGGTGTGCGCACCCACGAAGGACTGACGCTGCTGTCCGCACTCCAAGCATCACGCACGGTGGTGTCTGCAGTGCTGCCAGGAGCATTCGCATCAGCAGCGTCAGTCTCTTTACTCTTGTCTGCGGCATTGTGTTCCTGTGGACTTACAGTGGTGGTGCCCGTTTTGCCAATGTTACTTAGGGCACTGTTTACAGTTGTCGCGGAGATTTCATCTGATTCCTTTTCAGAAGAGTGGGAGACGTCGCCCAGTGGCCCGGAGGATTCCAGGGAGGTGCGGTCTGAGGCCAGCTGAGCACCCGGAGTTGTCACCGGCTTAGGCGTTCCTTCCGCCTTGACAGCGTACAATGCCTTCTCCAGAAAATCCATCATTAACGCGGCACTCTTGGCAGCACCCTCTGCTTCCTTAAAAGCCGCATTAGCTTCCCTGATTCCCGTGTCAGCCTCACCCAGCGCCTGCTTCAATATCTTCTCCGTCTCATCAGCGGCTTTCACCAAATGTTCCGTCAGAATCGGTTTAACTCCGGGTTGCGTCAAGCTCTGTGAGATTTCTAGTGCCGCGTCGACCTTCTGTTTAGCGCTTTTCGCAAACTGCCCCCCAAACATTGAAGCTGTGAACGCGCCATTAGTCTTGGTATTCGTGTTGGTTAAAAAGGCCACCATGACTTCCTTTGCCTCCCACGCCCGCTCAACAAGCTCGGCTTCCTTTTGTCCAACAGATACCTTTCGCCCATGCCATATGCCTTGTGACAGCATCGCCTTACTGACGGCCTCCGTCACCCATGTACCGTAAAACGAAGACATCCGAGCTGCGGCAGAAAGTGCTTCGTGCGCCTTCTGTGACACATCCATCACGTCTTTCACCTTTGTCACGACGTCAGACCCTGCACCGCTGCTCTGTTGCTGCTCAACTCCCTTGTCCACGGCATTCAAAGCTTCACGGAGCTCGACGGCTTTTGCGTGGGCTACACCCGTCACATTCTTGGATTTTTCGGCCGCATCTTTCACTGCTTTCGCTGATTCCATGACCTCATCGGCCCTCTTCTTGGCAAGCACAGCAACGGCTTTCACACGCTCAAGAAGACGTTGAGGTGTCTCTGCGGCATCTGGCGGTGCGGGCACAGCTGTCACACAGCCACACAGGCAGCACAGTGCGATGATCAGAACACCCAGTCCGTGGCGCACACTCACCCGCATCATCACTTTTGCCTGGATCTCAGTGGTCTACAAAGGGGGGAAAGAGAAGCACACCAAGACACACAGGTACGCCAGGACAGGGCAGCAGCGCACCACGCAATCCACTGGACAGCTAGAAACGTCATACATTACTCATCCAAAACATCAGTGGCAGAGCCCAACAAACCACAGAAAAAACGACCCCGACAACCCCAAAGAAATGATGAAAACAGAAAAGAAAAGAGCTGCAGCAGCCCAGGTAGTTGGCCTGCAGGGGTGCACACACACACACACACAGCGGGGAGAGCAGCACCACACAGATCGTCCACCAGCAGCAGCAGCAGCAGCCCGACATGCGCACCGTGGCGCAGCACACACGCAATGAGACATGTAGAAGAATTATTAAAAGAAGGCCCTCACAAGTGGGCGCCGCACAACCATGTGCCAAGCAAAGCCCATTACAGCAATGAGAGAGAGATGCGCCGCCCTCGTCGGATACAGAGCACAGGGAGTATCCTCCAAGGTGAAGGAGGTGGCGCGTGGCAAGCAAGCAAAAGAAAATGAAACGAAAAGTAAAGGAAACAAAAAAATGTTTGCATTCAATCTCCAGGGCAGCACACACAGGACACAGGGTGCATGCGTCTTGCCGTGTGCACACATGCCTCAGCACACAGCCAGGAGGCCCAGCACACCCACCACCAGCAGCAACGGTGTGCGCACCCACGAAGGACTGACAGTGCTGTCCGCACTCCAAGCATCACGCACGGTAGTGTCTGCATTGCTGTTGGGCCCTGCCAATGGTGCACCAGCAGCCTGAGAACCACCGTTCCTTATGGATTCTGCATCTGTCTTCTTCTCCAATGGTCCTGCTTGCAGTGGCTCTGAGTCGATAGTCGTGATGCCAGCTTCGGAGAGATCGACGTGAGGGTCAGCCTCATCAGCGTCCGCGAAGTCTTCATGCTTGATGTTCTCCAACGCTTCTCTGAAAAAGACCTCTGTAGAAGGGTCCATCGTGTCCGTGACATCTCGGGTGCTGCTGCCAACTGTTTTCAGAGAGTTTGCCTCCAACTTGCTATCCGTGTGGTCTGAGATATCTCCGATTGCCTCCTGGGATTCCTGGTGTTCCGTAGCGGCGGGAGACCACACCGCAAAAGCAGGTGTGTTGAGTGGCTGCTCCTGTTCAGAGTTCTGGACGGCAGTGAGAGTATTGCTGTGCTCACCCCGCTTAGGATCATTCTCAAGTGAAGCTTGCTGCGTCTCATCGGTAGTTGATTCTGAAGGAGAGCGAGGTGCCGGAATTGGAGGAGTAGCGCTGGCTTCTTCGTCCCGGACTCTCCACGCTGCTCCAATGAAGCTCATCATTGTACCAGCATGCTCGAGAGCCGTCGTGGCGTTCTTCACTGCTGCATCATTGCCGTTGAATACCTTCACAGCCAACTCCACTGTCTGCTTCGCCATCGCCATTGCCCCCCTGGAAGATAACACGAATTGTGGAATGCCTTCTTTCCGCGCACGGTCTTCATGCAGATTCCGGATGTCTTTTTTCACCTGCTTAGCTCTCCGGGATGCATTGCCGGCACTCTTTACCGCAAGCACTGCAGCATTAAACGCCTCGTAAGAACGGTCTGAGGACACTTTTAAAAAATCACACACTGCATCCATTTGATTCCATGCGTTCGACGTCATCTCGGATGATTTCGGGCCAAAGACAATTTTTTTCCTGTCCACACTTCGTCGTAATTTATTGGCCTGACTGTATGCATCTGCCGCCAGGTTGGTGAAAGGCGCGGAAGCTTCTCCCGTGGCACTAATCGCACTATGTGCTCTGTCCAACGCTTCCCCTGCGTCCGTTGCAAGGTCCACAATGTTTTTCATTCGAACCTCTGTCCAACGAACTACTTTTGGGACGTACAATGCCCTCACAGCCTGGTGAAGTGCTCTGGTTTTCCGGAGCGCAAGGATCGACTTATCAGCAGCTATTGCCGCAGTCCTCCTCGCCTTCTCTCCGGCTTCCTCGATTGTCTGCACTTTCTCCCTGGTAGCCATGGCTGTCTTATTCACACGCTCCAGAAACTGTTCACGTGTCTCTCCCTTATTATCTAGAGTTGTACCACCAGCCGCCACACAGCCGACCGAACAGCACAGCGTGACGACAAGGACGCACAGCACGTGGCACACAACCATCGCAAGCATCAGTATTCCTTGGAGCTCACCGACCCGCAGAGGCAAAGAAGAGGCACATAGCATGTAACACAGAGAGAAAACAGGACAGAGCAACACTGCACCAAAAGCAGGTTATCGAAAGTGAGAAAAAACCTTATTAGAATAATATGGGCAAGCGTCACTCATTCATCATTAAAAACGGCACAGGAAACTCGAAATAAAGACAGAAAAACATAGGACAGGTGTTATCCATGTATACGGATATATATGTTTGGTTTAATTCCCACTTCAGAGTGCCGCTCTGTCCCCCCACCGGGTGTGTGTGCCATCAGCGGGGGGAAGCTATGGGCAGTGTGCACCTCCGCGCTCCACCGCAGCGCAGCGCAGAAACACAAGCGCGGAGAAAAGCACCACACAGACCACCCACCAACAGCAGAAGCAGCCTAACATCCGCACCGTGGCGCAGCACACACACAAGTAAGACATGTAGAAGTATTATTTAGATAAGGCTCTCTCAAGTGGGAAGTCCGCAATCGCGTTCCAAGTAAAACCCATTACAACAATGAGAGAGATGCGCCGTCCTCGTTGGATACAGAGCACAGGGNAAAGAAGGCCCTCACAAGTGGGCGCCGCACAACCATGTGCCAAGCAAAGCCCATTACAGCAATGAGAGAGAGATGCGCCGCCCTTGTCGGATACAGAGCACAGGGAGTATCCTCCAAGGGGGATTAGGTAGCGCATGGCAAACAAACGAAAACTAAATAAAACGAAAAGAAAAGAAAACCAAAACATGGTTGCATTCAGTCTCCAGGGCAGCACACACAGGACACAGGGTGCATGCGTCTTGCCGTGTGCACACATGCCTCAGCACACAGCCAGGACGCCCAGC